CTGTAATTTCACAGTCCAGCTCCTGCCTCCAGGTGAGGACTCCCTGGGAGCCTGGAGTCTGCTTTGAACCCCTATTCTCCATTCAGGACCCTCACCTCCCCAAAACGTAAGTGGCCTGACCGCTGAGACAGGCACCCCACACTCATTGGGGAAATAAAATACTTCACTATCCTTGGGATTGTGTAAAAAATATATAACTTAACACCACACATTTCTCTCTAGTGAAGCTCTTTTGCATTAAAGTCACGGATTTGTCCGGAAGTAAGCCCTCAAAGTAATGTGTGTTTGTTTAAAACTTCAGGTAACCAGGTGACTCCAGGTACCACCCAGGTGTGAGTTCATTCCTCAGGCTAGTTGGGGGTGTGTGCAAATATTCGGTCCCTTTCTCTTTTCCAAGAAAGACGTTTTGGAAGTACTTTTCTTTTCTTTTTTTCAAGTGGGGATCCGTAAGGGGAAGAGGAGTCTTTGAGGGCAAAGATGGGAAGCGCGCGATAAAAAAAAAAAAAGACCCTGCGGAGCCTCCTCCCCGACAGCGACCAGGCATTTCCCTGTGGTACGTTAGCGAGGTGACAGGACTTCTCGTTTCTCCCCATTTTTAATCTTGAAATCCACCCCATTCCCAGGCTTTCGGTCTTCGCGGTTCATCTTTGTAGCAGCCCGGACGCTAGGAATCCCGTGCGAGTAGGGTCCTCGCTTTGTGGGAACGCTTGATCCCCGAAAGAGGGAGACAAGAGGAACACGACCTGGCCCTGGAACCCTCGGAAGAGCTCGGGGCCTTCGGCCGTCCGCGGGAAAAGATCTGTGAATGACAATGGCGCTCTTTTGGCCAATGGGCTGGGCAGGCATAAAGCGTGAGTTTCCCTTCTTTTTAGGATGGAGGCTGGCGGGGCACTGGCCAGGGAGCGTCCGGAAGGTCTCAGTCCTTTAGCACAGAGCCTAATTGCGCTGCTAATGCCTTTGGAAACAGAAGATGGGCGACTGATTATTACACTAACGTTTTAAACTGAAGCGCAAACAAACGACACCGTTTTGTGGCTCTGAAACTGTGTTTGGAGGGTATTATTTTAAACAGCTGCAACTCCTAAGAAACAAGCCCCTCACATTGTTGTTTGACTGACTCTTCATGGTTTTATTGACCTTTGACGAAGTTTTAAGATTTCACATTTTATTCTTTAATTGAGCAGTGGTTTACTGTTGAGCTGTAGCGGCGTTTGGTTCAGTTTGAGGTTGTTTGGCCATTTCCACAACGTGATTGCCCAACTCTAAGCCTGTGTGTCTCACCAGGCAGCAGTGGAAAATTCAGTGACCATAGTAACGGAAGACTTTAAAGGATTCCTTGCCCTGAACCCCAGTAGATATTGTTTTAGAAAACCCTCCAAACAGATACCTCCTTCCCTTTCTGATAAACTGGGGGGGGGGGGGG